CCAATCCTTTTTCACTTAACCGCGCACATTCACTGAGATTACGCTGATGTTACGCACACTCCGCTTCCACGACGAAGCCTGGTCATACCACCTACCGTATGATTCCCATTCTGTCACCTGTACCCCTAACAAATTTGAACGCTCAAGGTCCACTTGGACAAGAACTATGTATTTCTTATAGGAGAAGCGCACGGGGGTCGGTACATTCGTGCGATTCGAGCTGCGCGCGGCAAATTGCGCGGCGAAATTCGTGACGATTTGAACGGCTCTGGCGCCTAATGTTGGGGAACAAACTTGATGTAGAGTAGATTTGAAGGGTTAGCTGTTACTACCTTTCTACTCTACTTTAAATTTGGGCCTCAATAATAGGCGCTAAAGTCGTCAGAATCGCTATGAATTTCGCCGCACGCAGCTCGAATCGCACGAATGTACACACATCCCAGCGACAAATACAAACACACCAACAAACACACTTATCTTACTGTATAAGTAGGATTGCAATTCATTGTCTCATAAAATTGAATGGTTTCTAATCGGCCGCTTCCCAGGAGTGCATCCCTTCTGATGGTTGAAGTGTGGCATGCCATATGAGAGATCACACGTTTGCTACTTCAAAACAATACAAAGGGCTCTACTAAAGTTTGCAGTCGTTCACTTGCATGTAATAGAAAAACCAAGCAGCAAGTCACAATGGACTAGTTCCAGTTTTGTGACTTGCCGCATGCTCGCGATCGAACTGCAAGGAATACAAATACACTTAGACTAATAATCGGATCTTCAATACCTGAACAAGCTATGTGGAGAAAATGGAGATCAGCAAGAAACCGAATGCAGACGGGGAATAAACACGATAGCCTTTTCGAGCCAGCATCTTTTCTGGCAGGTTGCCAACTGACTGTGGTTGCAGTTTGAATTTCTTTCGCGTTAGGACCGAGTTACATTTACACCATGGCGACCTTCAGCTGAATAAGTGGATCTTCCAAAATAGTTTTGGTTATGGCCATAGTTTCATTCCCTCCTCAGGTTTTTTATATTTTACTTCTTTTCTTTTTTCATCTTTTGGTGACTTGTGTGTAAGCTGAGTAGCTTCATGAGAGCAGTTTCATTTGATCTGGGATGACGGTTTTTTGCGCTGTGTTTCTTAGATGTCTGTCTTGCCGAAAACCGTATTCAATACAATTTTACTTTTTGTACACTTTTCATTGAAGAGTCTTGTGAACAATCGGTCCTTCCGCAAAATCCCAACGATCTTTTAATACATTGCATACAATGATATGTAGGAGATTGAGATAATTTCTTCTATATTCCTCAACTTTGAGCATTCTGTTTTTCATAATTTCGTATCTATAGTTGCTAATTTATGGTTTAGGACTGGTGCGGAATTGAGGAACCAACATTTACATTTTTGGCGTTTTATAATTGTTTAGTTCTTTCTAGATCGGCAACCCTAGGGTAGGCAGGCCATCAAAGGCTGATGAGGACCAAGTTATCTCATTAATTTAACCAAGTTTGGTATCAATATCGATGGTATAGGAGGAGAGCTCAATGTGCTAATTAGCTTCTCATGACCGCTTGATCAAGCTTGGTTCCTTGCCAGTCATGGTGGTTGAATATCGTGTGTGTTTCGGGCCGATGTTTTCGTTGTATCTACATGTTGTTTCAATATATCCCAATAAGTAAGCAAATAAAGCACCTTACAGCTGAGCAAATCTTGTCTGTAGAACCTTATTAATGTTAAACTTTTTGCGTAAATTCCAAGAAAAGCAGTGCTCCTGAAGTGAAAAATGGAATGTGTACAGCAACGTAGAATGAAGACTTTACAGGCAGTGATTCTGGAAATAGTCCTGAAGGTTGTGTTATGTTTCTGTTGGGAATGAAACAAAATTTGCTCTTGTAAGTGACTGCGCTAATTTTGTCAATTGGAGTTTCGTTGGAATGCCGTATCGCAACTTACAAATTGACCGCTCACCCCATTAGGCTGCCATCTGCACGGGTCTGTGAAGAATCCTACTTTATCTTTCCCAACGATGTCACACCGCTCAAGTGCTATGATTATCACTAGGTTGACTCCCTTAAAAATTTCAGGATTTCTTCCCAACCTGTTGAATTGTAATAGCTGCATAGGGTTCTGAAGAGTTAATCTCGGATAAGTAAGAGCAAAGCTTTAGTCCATCGAACGTCTCTATGGAAGTTTTTCAGTTTTGCACCTCTTGCATTTCAATTTCACAAACCTGGTCACGGCAAGAACTACCGGTATCCCTTCCCGGTTCTTATGCTGACCATTTCGAAAATGAATTTTCGTTTGTGTCCATCTCTTGCCACGATTCTCCCAAGTTCCATCACTTGTAAGTGCTTTCGATTATTTCCAGGCATCCATGAGTGCAAACCAAGAAGTCAGAATACACGACGTGTGGAATTCGAACGTCGAAGAGGAGTTCGCAAAAATGAGGACTCTCATTGACGTAGGACTCAGATTTCTAGATATTTGGGGTATATCGGCAATTTGAATGGTTTTTTTTATTTAGGACTATCCTTTCGTTGCAATGGATACTGAATTCCCAGGGGTTGTTGCCACTCCGCTCGGCACTTTTAAAAGCAAGGAAGACTTTAATTATCAACAAGTATCCTGCAATGTCAACATGCTCAAATTGATTCAAGCAAGTTTAAGTGAAAATTTCCAAATTCAGCACTCCATTGTTCATAACTTTATTCAGGTGGGATTCGCGTTAGTCGATGAGAAAGGAGATCTTCCACCAACAGGCGATGTATGGCAATTTAATTTCCACTTTTCGCTTTCCGATGATATGTACTCACAGGAGAGTGTGGAAATGCTCAGAGCAGCTGGAATCGACTTTACTCGTTTGCAGGTTCAAATTATTCGTGACTAGGGAAGTTGTGGATGTTTTATTAACCCTAAGGATTTAGAACGAAGGTATTTCAATGGACATTTTCGGCGAACTGTTGACAACATCAGGACTAATTGTGGATGACCGGATTACGTGGCTTACATTCTCGTCGGGCTATGATTTTGGTTATCTCCTGAAGTCAATAACCCTTGGCGAACTTCCAAAGGAGGTATGAACAATAGTTTTTGAATAGGGTGTAAACAGTGATTGCACTGTTCTTGCAGGAATCGCAGTTCTTCCAATTCCACCGAGCACTATTTCCTCGTTGTTACGACATTAAATTGATGCTACGGATGCCTGGTTCATTCAATACCAAACTTAAAGGAGGCTTGCAAGAGGTACCTAGAGTCGTTGCTTTTACGTTGTCTCTCTGTTCAAGTTTGTAATGGGGTTCATAAGGAAAAGGCAATAAGATTTTATAGTGATTTCTCGCAACTGTTTTGGAAGGACCCACTTAGAATTCTGTTGAAGGTGGCAGATCAGTTGGACGTTAAACGGCATGGCATGCGTCATCAAGCTGGATCGGATGCCCTGCTTACTGCGAAAACGTTCTTCAAAATAAAGCAACAATTTTTCAACGATAATTGGGACAAGGCTAGTTTTTCTCAAATGTATTTACTTCTTAACTGTTTTGTTTCATTGTGGTTGCTTAAGCTCTCGATACCTCATGTTCAGCAGACTTTTAGACAAAGTAAAGGATAGACTTTTGGGCGTAATCAGTTCCGTCTGAAGTGTGCGCCCACGCATTCGATTTTCATTCAGAATCGTGGTGGCGTATTGAACGCATATGTAGCCGATATAGTGACATGTGGTGCCCAGCCGATGTAGAAATCAGTGCTTCATCTTCCCAACGAGTATGGTACCAATTAAGCGACACCGGAGGGATGGAAGGCTTGGTTTGGCTAGGCGAATATCAATGCAGGATTCGAGTCTGTGACCACGCGTGAGAGATACTGCGCCACCTGTCACGACGCCATCTTCGCCCAGCAGACAAAGTACAAAGGGTTAATCATGTTGCGCTTCCAAGGGTTGGCTAGGGTTCATAGTGAATGAGGGAAATTCGTTGAATAACACAGAAAATAATTGAGTGAAAAGGAGGGTCACTATCAAACATGTGCGAGAAAATTTGCACATCAGTAAACAATTCACTGCAATCCTACGTTTCATCATGTTAAGGTTGAATCGAAGACGCTTGCTCACCTTCATGAGAAATTGTTCCTTTCCAAGACGAGAATAGGTGACGTGTGCATCTAGAAGGTTTGCCACAGATAACTGTTCTATTGGTCATCGTGACCAGTGAACTTTTTCTGGAGACGGTACGAGATATGAAGTGTCAACAGAGCTGGTCATAGTGAATAAATTCAAGCAATAGTGTCGGAAAGCAAAGGTTTCAGATGAGCTCTTAAGTCCTGGTCTTCATCGTACTCGCAAGCTAAGCCAACCACCATTGCCATGGAGCATGTGAAAAGGCCCTTCTCGGACGGTCTTCCGTTGTCGCATGTGCGCGGTGCTAAAGCTGGTTGCTCCAGTCAGTGCCGTGATTGTCTGATTTTCTGGGAACAGATTTTAGTACGTCAGTCCATCGAGTCGCAGGAACAAAGTGAGCCCCCGCTTTT